ACATATCAAAGGATTGCAATAACATCACATGACAGTTTCTGTAAATCCTTGTTCCATTCATCAAATCTCAAGTTAATTATCTCCATCATGATTAATTGTATCCTTAGCTCGGTCCTATCATTTCATTTATCTCATGGAATTCAGACCAGCTGATACACATCAACCAGAGACCCTTAGAGGAACACTTGAGATTGACAAAGATTTTTATTGAAATTCCCACTTAATTCATCTCCATTAACAGGTTAGGATTAAACAAAGATGACCTATTGCTAACGTTCCAAGAGAGGATCCTCCTGAGCAAAGTTGGTGCAGGCATTAAAAAAAACTGTAAGTTGCCTCAACAATCCTTCTATCAACAACCGGGGATCTGGGGATATTGGTAATTGAAACATCATTTGCTTCCTCCTCCATCTGCTGGTTCTCCCATTGCCTAACCAGCCTATCAAATTTGCTCTCCTGCTCTTCATCTTCCTCCAGCACTACTACATTTTTGTCTTCCCATTTGTCATCTTCTTCAGCAGATTTGCCCAAATCCTTGTGCATTTCCACATCCATTCCTGTTTCAATCAATTTTCTAGAGGTGGAGAAGCTCTTCTTTCTGGTGCTTTCACCAGTACAATCTTGCATGAGGATGAGCGTCATAACCATCTTGGCATTGTCATCGTTAAGCACTTGAGAGACAAATTTGGACTTCAGTTCAGTGGGCTCAAAGATGACAATTCCATGTGCTTGAACTCTTCCATGATTATTCTCTCCTCTCCAGGCGGTGTCCATCACGGTCTTTCCTTCCTCTTGTGAAGTGTTGTTCTTCCGAGCAAACAGTTCTCCCATGTTGCTGCTTTCAAGTTTGTGAGACACTTCATGTTGTTGGAGTTTTGGGTTCTTCTTGCATCTACTCACAAGTAGAAGTTGCTCTACTTCTTCATTCTTCGGCTGATCACCCTCCCCATCTGCTCTTGCATTGTTTACCCTTGAATCCATCTTTATTTCTTCAGGCGTGTTGATGGGTCCCATCTTACCACAGGCTAAACATCATAGAGACCTTAGTAAGATTAACAACAAATCTTTTTGGATTTGATAAGAGTTTCATATGTTAAAGGGTCTAGAGAGGATCTTAAGGAAATGACCCAAGGCCCCCAAAACTCCAAAGCAACCTAGAAATATTAACTTAGTTCTTGCCCTCTATAAGAATGTATTTGCCAATATTGCCAATTACATAGTATTAGAGATGGTCGTGTATGGTATCTCTCCATCAGGCAGAGAATACCTTGCCCCAATAATGGAGCATGAACATGATTCATGGTAGCCAACCCCATATAGTTGTGATAAGGCTTGGGTGATGAGGACGACAACAAAGATGACAAATTTCTAGATGAAAACCTAGGCATAGTCAACTAACCCCCCCCCCTCCTTCTTTTTCGGATCATCAATGAATCTATAAGAAAGGGGATTGCCCATCCCCCAAACCCTATAAACCCTCAACTCTAGTGAAGGCAGGAATCGATCTCAAGTCTCCACTACAATCGGCCATGGACCTTATAAACTGAACCAGTTGGCACCTCTAGGCTAGTATCCACTTTGGTAGGGTTTCTTTGTGTTACAAAAATACAATAGTATGATATTTGCAACCGACTTTAAGATCTTTAGTTGCTGTTCTCAAAGACTTGGAATTGAATCTTGCCTTCATCTTGGAGCTACTGCAGGACCCGTAGCACCCCCCCCCCCCCYCCATTAATGGATGCCTTGTATTGCTTGCAGTAAGGAGGCATGAACTCGTAGATACAAACCTAGACAAAGGCCACTCTCCAGTTTGATAGAGTTTCTCCTTGTTGCAATAAAGTGACAATAGGATACAAACCTAGTTTGCTCAGATATACAACCAAACTAAACTAAGGGGGACTTTGGTTGGTGTTACCAAAGATTTGGGGCTGTACTTTGCCTTCACCTTGGAGCCATGTAGGCAGTGCCCCTGTACCCCCATTTCTGCCATTAATGCCCCTAGGACCCTTGGTCCTTATTATCCTATGGTCTTCTTTAAGGAAAAAGAGACAGGAAAAAGTTCTTACCCATGTCCTTGATTGTGAGGGATTTGATAACCTTCCAAGCTTCTTTAGCCTTGATTGTGAGGGCAGTAATCAATATTGATTTACCCAAAGTTTTTCCAATGTGGTCAGGCTCCCATTTCTTTCCTTCACTATCAAATTCATCATTTTCAAATTCCATATTCTTAGCTTGGCATGGTAAAGAGTTGGTGATTGAGTTGCCTTCAGCAAATACATCCTTGATGTTTATATCCTTCATGAGATCTTGAAGCATTTGGTTCTCTGCAATGTTGCTCTCAATGCTAGCCATACCGCCTCTTCGAAAAGTACCCCGAAACTACACACGGAGTTCTATAATGGTAATTGTTTTACAAGAGAGATAAGCTGGACAAGCATGGTTATAAATGCAGTGCTGGTTCTTCATTATCTAAGGGCGGTTTTGACATTAAGCTCGAGGAAAAAATCAGATTCTTTGAAGGGAAAAATGGAAGGAAAGTAAATACTTCTCTTTTTTAAGAGGGTGGCTTTATTAAGATAAGGAGTATCTTTAATGCAAGAATATGTCATATGCAAGTTTAAATTTGAAAGCAAGTTTGGTCAAATTTTAGAACACTCAGGTGGTGTTCAATAAATCCAAACTCTGATCTTTAGAAAAGGGAAAATAAAGTTCTAAGAATAGTTTGGAACTTGGAAATATGGAAAACAACCTGTTTTGCTTTTGTAGAGCTCTAAATATAGTGAAGCCGTTTAGGTGGCATTTGATAATGCTGAAACGGGGTCTGATAAAACTTGCTTTTTAAAGAATGGATCTCATTTAGTGTTAACACATGAACCATACAACTGAAAAGTGATAATAGGTCTGATTTGGTAAGAGGTGACCTATGCACAAAGTGCATTCAAAGTGTTTTAGATGGCTCATAATGACTAAAATGCCTCCATTTTTTTATATTATAAAGGTTATAAAAAGTATAACAGAAAATTTGTTGTTTTTATCCATAGAAAAGAGCTTTTTTGCTTTTCACATATTAGACTTCAGCTTTACTAAATACAATTCTAAACATATCTTATAATATATTGTTATAGTATACATAATATTATATTTTAAAGTTATAGCATAGAACATAAGGTATATTATTTTTTATTATAATATTATATAACATATGATCTATGATATATAACATAATAAAAATTATATATTATACTATTATTAAAATATTTAAATGTTAAATTATATTCAGTATTATATAATAAAAATTAAAAATGACAATTGAGATAAAAGCAAAAACATGATATTTTTAAAAGTAAATATAACCTAAGTTATATTATTATCCTATAAAACAATTAGCCAATTTATGATTATATAATAATTTAACTAATAGTATCATATGACTTGACAAATAGATAATGATACAATAGGCAAATATCCTTCTTTGTTACCTTTTTTACAATCTGAAGGAAAAAAAAATGTTAAACAGTTAAGAATATATCATAAGAAATTATTTGCATTTTCGAATAATAATAACAACAGTAACTACTATTGAAACTAAGGAAAAAAAACATAAAAATAAATGATTGTATAAAATATTTAGAATAGTTTACCAAAAAAGTAATTTTTTATCTATGTTTATGTAAATATACATATAATAAAGCTATGATAGTTTTAATATCTTATTTTCACTACTACTACTTAAAATGCTCAGTTGATATTCAATTACTACCATCAGTAGTAATTGTTGTAATGCCTCCCTTTGAAAATGGAATAACAGAATTTTTCTTTTATTTTATCTGTACTTCGGTAGTTTTAATTTGCAAACTAAATATGACTATTGTTACCAAATTGACACTTTAGGCGATGGAGATATAGGTACTTAAAACGAGTCTACCCCCAAATATTGAAAGATCACATGGATGCTCCACATGCACATCTTAGCGTGCATTGGGAACATCTCCCATACTTGTCATCGGGAGATGTTCTCAATTTGCGGTGGGGTGCCCTAGGGCACCGATGTAAACCTAAAGCTTTAGAGCTGTACAACCTGAGAAAGCTTCAACTAAAATGTTTTCTAATAAAGATATCCGTATATGATTCAAATTCAAAGGAAATAGCAAAATAGGATTCATGTAAATGACCTTATACAAGTGCGAAATTGTGAACAGGGCCTACATGATGATGATAAATAGTAGTTAATCATAATACTTCTGTTTGGTGTGGTAATTGGATAGTGCTTTTAATGAATCTCGACAAATCTGTGAAAAAGAAGAAAATGGGTTCCCCGTTCCCCATTTGGTTGCAATTTGCAAACTCTCCGTATGGCTTGAGCTTACGCATACAAATTGTGGGAGCTTGGTGGCATGCTCCCATCGCCTGTACACACATCGTATCCACTGTTCATAGCCAGTTCCAACTTCCAATGTGACATTGGCCAAGGTTCTGGATTGGACTATGTACTCGTAAGGCACAACCAAACGCTAAGGGCCCCGTTTAGGAGGGCTGAAGCTTTAATCGAACTACGAGAATCCAGTTAAAAAAAGCCTCAGCGGAAAGCCCATTTCAGGCTGAAAGCCTACAATTCTGGGCTTTCCGGGGTTTTCAGCATGTGGGCTGTCCAGGTGGGGCCTATCTCATAAAGCCAGTGTCCATTGTTTTGTGCCCTCTTGGAAGGGCTGGATTTCATACAGCAGCTTCTTGCTTTGTAAGATGGGCCCCGCACAGTTTAGAAGCTATGTTTGATGAAAAACCCAGAAAGTCAGAAGATGCTTTAATTGAGCTAATAAATCGACCTTCGGATGATGAAAGCTAATTTCAGTAGATTCTTCAACACCAGCTCAACAAAAAGCAGAATCCTTCCCAAACGGGCTCCTAGAGACGTCAAACTCAGTAATCTCACTGAAACCATCCAGAAAATCAAGTTGGAAAAACAGGAAAATGACTGAATGCATGAATCACTGGCCAGAGTGTACATGCCAAACGACACAGAAAAATTGAGATTGTATTAAATATCAGAACGTCAGTTACATTGTCAAGGGATGGCATCCCAACGTTTTATACTAAGACAGTTTTAATTTAAAGAAGGCATGGGTATTTTCAGTTGGGTGCAAATAATACCTAGATAGGAAGAAGCTCATTTGTAGATCTTCCCAAAGTAATTTTGAGCACCTACCTATACCAGGACTCATGCCTTTAATCTTAATCTTAGGCCTGGCAGCAAAATGTTGCAGGAAGATCACCCCGTAAAACCAAACACTAATCCTTCATTTAAAAGCTTCACCTCCATTTCTCCTGTTGGACCAGTCACAAGGTTTAATTAGTCACTGTTTCAGCCATAGAAAATATAAGCTAAAACAACGGTCAGATCAAAATAGCAAGATTCATTCAAACAACAACAATAATAATAATAGTAATCACAATGAAACCTGAACCTGATCATTAAATCATTTTACCAAGTAGATATTAGTGAGAATCACAATAACGGAAATCGAATTAGAATTTTAGGCTCTAACTAGATGATGCTGCATGTGTTGCACCCCAATTTTATTTATAAAGATTGATAAAAAAAAAAAACAAAAAAAAAAACTAGATGATGCTGCAGAAAGTCTCTTGTATATAGCACAGTCAAATGAAAATATTGATGAACATGGAAAGAAATTTAAGTGTGTTTCTTTGAGTTCGTGTATAGGGAAAGAGGTTCAACATATTGGCATTTGGCACCCAATATTGTAAACAAAAGCACAATAGATGGAGAAAAAGTGTGGTCTTGGTGTCTTTCCCTTAAATCCCTGTCCTTCAATTATTAAGTAGTTACACCTTTGTATTGCAGATTTGCAGTGAAGCCCCTACAAAGGCATGAGATCATAATAATGTGATAATGTGTCGAGTAGCAGACTTGCACCCCTATTCATAATACTCAACATGCTTTCAACTGAGATACCATCACCAAGTGACATGACCAATGATAGGAAATATAAACCCCCATATCCAAACTAAATTGTATAATCTTCTCTTCTCTCTATCAAGGCTAAAGAAATATAAGAAACTTGCATTTTTAACTCAAACTGAATAATTTAGTTTAACAATGACTGCTTTAATATTATAATCTCAAAAAGTTAAGAATACAAGTATCCAAGAGCACCGTGTAAAAAATATCTTGGTGATTAAGTGAGGCGACCCTCCATGAGCGCCTTATCACCTAGGCATCGCCTCGACAACTATGCTTAATCCCTATACCAAATGCTGAAATCTTCACTCTAAGAGTCCTCATGGCCAATGGGTTTAATAAGAAAGGGGGCTGGAAGGGGAGGATAACCTCCCATTTACTGCTCCTAAAAGCACTGCCCACAGACAGTTTCCTTAATATCCTCAAAGTTGTATTCTGAAAACAATGAGTCATGCAGGCCCAGTGGATGTTGGCAGCTCCTTACGAGCAGAATCACTTGCACTACATCAAGGTCTTAAGCTAGCAAAGGGTGCAGGTTTGAATGTGATTGTGATTGAAGGAGACTGCCAAGTGTAGTAAGTTGTGTCATTTCAGACAAAAAACATCCTTGGACATTTAGACTTCTGAGTCAAGCACATTCAGATTGATCCCAAGGTCTGCAAGCAGTCTGGATGAAAGGTTAGCAAGGTCAGGGTGCACAAAGATATCCTACAGCGGATATGCCAGGTACAAGAAGTGATATCAATGTGTAATTGCATTGAAGAAGTATGTTAGTAAGAGGGTTCAGTCAGCCTTTGGCTGTTCTTATACCTGTTATGTTCTGCTCCTCTTTATTTATTTATTTATTGTTTTGACAGTCAACAGAAGATAAATGTTTTGCAGAAAATGGAATCCCTTTACCATCCACAAGATTTTTTTATCAATATTACCATCCACAAGATTTATTAGCGAGAATGAAAACAAGCCAGCCCAAGACTGACCAGTGATCACACAAACTCGTACATTTAATACAGACTTTACAATACTCCTGGCCAAGGAAATCCCTCGCAAAAGGTTCTCCCTCATGACCCCTGTCCTTGATAAAGTATCAGCCAAGTAACTGGCAGCTCTTAAGATCCACATGAATGAGCAGTTCAGGCAGGCTAGTGTCTATTGCTCTAGCAGGGAAGTTTGTACACAAAATTAATAAAATTCTATCTTGTTTAATGATTAAAAGGAAAAAGATTTGGAAATCCCATAACTGCATTGGCTCCTACATAGTAAGAGACAAATCCACCTCACAACTCCCCCACCCCAGTTCTCCAATCTATAGACCAGTGAAGCCAATATTTGATTATTTGTCAACTCCTCTTCCCTTCTTGGTGGTAAATCTGAGTTAGTGAGACTTAGTTCTAGGTTATAAACTGCCTATTGTGATCTTTTAAAAATTTTTATAATGAGATTGGGCCCTTTTCTCAGAAATATTCATTTTTTTATATTATAAGTTTTTTCATCCAACTTTTGATCATCAATAAGATTTTACAAGAATCCCACCTCGCCATTACATTCTGTTTAATGTCATATCCATTGTTAAATTATGAGCACTTAAATCATTTATTTCTACTCCAAACCATGTCCATTTTGGTCTGCCCTAACCTTCTAGCCCTTTCAACTTGTAACTGGTCACTTTTTTACAGGTATTGTAGGTGGCCTTCTATGCATGTGATCAAACCATCTAACTCTAACTTCTCTCATTTTTATCACCTATTGGTACTACTTTTAGTTTCCTTCAAATGACTTAATTTCTGACCCCATCCTTTCTAGTTTTTCCACTCATCCATCTTAGCATACATATTCCTGCCATATTCATTTTTTGGATATGTTGTTTCTTAAATGCCCAACACTCTGCTCCATACAGCACTGCTGGCCTTACAATTGTTCTATATAATTTTTCTTTTAATCTAAGTGGTATTTGCCTATTACATTAGACTCCGGATGCACCCCATCGTTTTTCCCATCCTGCTCTAACACCACGGGTGACATCCTCCTCAGTCTCTCCCTTGTCATGAATCATCAAACCAAGGTACTGAAAAAGGTCACATTGAATTACTCTTATCCAATCCTAAGTGTACCTTGATTTGTACTATTATTATTAGATTTACATTGCATATATTCTATTTTGCTCCTTATTTTAAAGCCTCTTGTTTCTAAAGCATTCATTCATAAACTTAATTTTGCATTTAATACTTCACTAACTTATCAATTAAAACAATGTCAAAAGCAAACAACCAGCACCATTGGACCTCCTCCTGAATATGTCTAGTCAATTCATCTATTAATGCAAATAAACAAGGGTTCAGTGTTGAACCTTGGTGAAGAACCATTGTAACTTAAAATTTTGTTATTGATTAAGAAAAATCTTTAACACGATGTAATTGCATGATTGTAAATGGAGCATAATTAGGTAAAAATGACAAAGTCCTAAGCAAATCCAAAGCTAATCTGAATTTTTACTTTTTAACTATTTAAGTAGTACCTTTTTCTTTGATTTTTCATTTCTTTTTGTGTTTTTCTGTTCAGTATACTAATAACATAATTGAATCAGGCACAACCCAAACAATCAATCTGAATTGAAATCAACCAGTTATGATCAGTTCAATGTCCAGTCCAGTTATCAAAATAGCATTAACATAGAAGCTTGCACAAGAATAATTTGTAAATAAAGATATAGATCTGCATACAAGTCTACTGCATTCAAAATCATTTGAAAGAATATGAACTGAAAAATTTAATTCAGAAATCTCCAGAAAGGAAGGAACAAAAGAAAAGGACAAACCGCTTTCACTGTTCCAAGTCAACTGTGTAGAATGCTAGGATGGGCTGAAGATAATTTATGTTGGCTTCATATTCTGGCGAATGTCAGGGGCTCTTGACACACCATTAGGTCCACAAAAGCACTCACCCTTTCAAGGGCACTTCATAAGTAAACCTTTCAGTCAAGCAGCCACTGGAATATCTACATTTTTTTTCAAAGAAGGAATTTTCCTTGAAACTGATAAACCCAAATCCAAGTCCCTCTCCAATAACATTGCCAAAATCCTTTGCACTTCATTGGGCATGCCAGCTTTAAAAAGACAGGATGTTAGTGCCTGCACTGTAATGGTATCAGGGGGACAATTAGAATTCAACATCTTATGGAAAATGTTGATTGCTTCATGCATTTTCCCTTTCATGCAATGCCCAATGATTAAAATGGTAAATGTATATGTATCAAGCTTGCATCTTTTCTCCTCCATCTCTGCCACAATAGCATTGGCCTCATCTATATTCCCGGCCTTACAGAACCCATCAATCACAGGGTTGTAGACAAACGCTTGTGGGACAATATCCGTCCATTTCAATTGCCTCAAAAGGCCACGAGCCTCATTTAGTCTATTTTCTTTGCACAGAGAATTAATGAGGACATGAAAAGTATGTGCATTTGGAGAAATATTTCTTGTTTGCATTTCATGCCAAAGCTTAATACCCTCATCGATCTGCCCACTTCGACAGTGAGCATCAATCAAGGAAGTGAAGGTAACCACATCAGGAAAACATCCCTGAAGAAGCAACTTCTCATACATGACCATTGCTGACCCCACCTCGCCAATCTTACTAAATCCATCAATAAGTGTATTATAAGTAATCACATTGGGCTCTGTCCCTGACCTAACCATCTCATCATAAAGATTGGAGGCCTCTTCCATCTTACCCAATTTGCAGTAACCCTTTATCAATGATGTGTAAGTCACAACATCTAATGAAAATTTACTATTGGACTGAATTTCCATCAACAACCGATGCCCCCTATCTACATCACTAGCCCTACACAATCCATTTATAAGTGTATTGTAGGTAACAACATCAGGGCAGCAACCAAAACTCCCCATATCATCAAAAATCTCAAAAGCCCTATCTACTTCTCCTATTCTGCAGAGGCCTTTGATAACAATATTAAATGTGCAAGTATCGGGACGAAAACAAGAACTCAAATGCTCTCTCAAGAGGCAAACGGCCTCCTGTACCCGATTGCTCTTAACCAAAATCTCCAACAGGTTATTATATACAAACGGATTAACTTCGATTCCATTGCCGAGAACCTGAGAAATCAAAGACTTTGTGATATCTAACTTACCCGCTCGGGCACAAGAAGATAACAAGAACGCCAAAATTGAACTGTCGGGCAAATGCCCATCGTTTCTCATGCAATCAAACACCACTTTCGCTGCATCATGGAGCCCCATCTCAGAGAGTGACTTCACAAGAAAATTGTAAGTTCTGACAGAATGCCTGATCTCCAACTTAACTCTACTGAACTCGAACAGTTTGAGAGACAAATTTGGATTTCTTAAGCGCTTGATGACTTCGTAAGCAATCGACGGATTCAAATTTTTACTGAAATAATCCAAGCAGGTGTCCAACGACGACGAGCGCACGCAGAGAGTACAGATAACCTTGACGACCCAAGCTTCGGGATGGTCTCGGATGACCTCGACGTCGAACAAGAGCTTTGGACGATGAGGACCCCGGAAGGCGTGATCGTGCAAGCGGGCGATGAAAGTCTCGGAGGCTCGAACCCTGAAGCGAGAAGTGGACAAAAACAGGATGGTCATCTGGAACGCGACGCCATTACTGGAACCTCTCAAATCTCCGCAACCATTCATGGGAACATTCTTTTTTCGCTGATCCGATTTGCGCTTGAGATCTGGAATCCTCATGGCAATGACAGGGAAGCATCGTAAACCCTAGAAAAGAAACCCTAGGACAGATGAGACAATGGCGAATCCAGCAAAGCCATGGAAGCGGGAGCAGGAGCTCTGTGTCAAGATAAAATTTTTATTGATTATAATGTTTGGTTAGAACTTGGAACAAAAACCCAAAACCCTTACGGGTTTAGGGCTCAGAGGGAGACCAGACTTGTTCAATTACGACATTGGCCGAGTGTACTTGTTAGAATTACACCTGTTCACGGGTCGGACCGGAATTTGCCTCTTTATTAATAAAAAATGTCGAGGCCCAAGCCCGAGCCCAGCCCTTATATAAGCCTAAAGCCTTGTGACTGAACATAAGATGTTGCTATTTATTGATATATTATATATTAAAATATATTTATTTTATATAATATATAGGGTTCGAACCTGAACCTTCATGCCTAAAATTTTGTCTAAACCCAATAAAGAATGGGCTGGGCCGGGCTGGGCCAGGTTGGGCCAGTCCGTTAATCCACTTGGCCCATAATCGACTAACTAGGTTGTGGACGATGCCATCCAAGTCGACTGGCATAACTCAGTCTGACATGGCAAGTAACAAATTTAAACTTTTATCTCAACATAATCTACCAAATATTGCCACAGGGAGGTCTTTGAAAATCCTCCTAGTTTGATATTTGAGGACCATGCAATAAGAAATACCTTGGAATTCTTCACCAGATTAGTTGAAACCTTTTGTACATTTTGCTTCCTTGTGTTATTACATCTTATTTGTCAAGAAAAAATGCAACTGAGAGTAGGAAAGGCTGCAACTTGGGCCGAATTGGATTGAGTATTAATTAAATTTTTAACTGGCCCAAACCTTAACTCAACCCTGCCCCAAAGCATTATAAGAAGAATAAAAAACCAAGCAATGAAGAAACAAAACGATATACATAACATCGGGTTTCATATAATCCTCCTTTAAAAGGCTCTTAAGCTCCCACCACAGGTCATAGGAGTTAAAACTTAGAAACATCTCATCTCTGATGAGAGAAGCCCAGGTTGATTAGCCAATCTTTGCATCTTTTCCCTTCATGAAACGTATGGTTGAATTTAATCCTCATAAAATCAATTAACTTCCTAAAACCCAATTGGACTTGCATCTCTAATAGTAGCCTAGTAGGGTTCCAAGTTTTCCCTTCAATCTGACTACTGTGAAACAAATATTTGGTTCCAAGTTTTCCAAACAAAAAGGTGTTTTCTCCAAAAGTGATTTGCACATAACTCAATGTGAAAATAGTACAAACATTTATACTTGAATCTATAAACCAAACAAGATTGTCGTTTGGTAAAGCTAAAATGCTTACATGCTTACATGGAGGCTCAAGTACAAAGATAGAAGCTTCAACTTACAACAATACCAAAGGCAACCTAAGTTGATGGATGCAGCTGCACATCGGGTACATATCCCATACTGATATGCTGTCACCCGTGGAGAGATATTTCCAACGCACTTTGCAACATACTGTGTGGTTGGTGTGAGGAGAAGTTCCCACTTAGGGTCAAACCCCCCACCTTCATCCTCTCCACCCCAACCCCAAGTTTGAAAACACATAAATGATTCCTTTCAGTTCGGTTCCCTAATATGCTATCTCAATTAGTTCCTTGTCAAAGCAGTCATAGACTACCGTGTTTAGGCATTGAAGTTCATTATTGATTCCAAGTTCCAACTACCAAAACATCCATGGTTTGAATTTTGAAAGTAGTCGATGCCAAACCCAAAAGGACGCAGCTTAATTATTAGAAACTTGACCAACCCTCAATTCACACTAATGTTTGAGGCATATTATTAGAGGCTAGAGCTGCGGGTCAGCTGCTCAGTCTACAGTCTATACATGTCATGGGATGAAAGGAACCGTTTCACATTGTTGGTGAGGGGCTTCGAGTTAGCATCTAGGCTTCAGCAAGCATACTTGGGATGTATTGACAATTAATCTGCAATCTGTAGAGATTATTCCTTCTGTTTGAGGATCTAAACCATCCTTTGCCGACCCTCAGTGGAGTTTGATTTCAATGGAGCATGTTTACATCAAGGGATGTTTGAATCGCTAGCAAAGATAAAATGCAAGGTACCATTCAACAGATCAGATCAAGGTTCAAAGTATTCACACTTATTGACCCATATCGGTCGATACGTATCGTTCCGGGACCCCTCCGACACACCCTTACAGTGGATGTATTGGGGGTTGACCGGTTCAAGGGGTAGAGCCCTAAACTGGCCCCCCTGAACCGGTTGCAAAAATAAATAAAAAAAATTAATAATAAAACACAGTATCGATTCGCCCGATATGCCCCTACTGGCATATCGATATTTTGAACCTTGGATCAGATAATGCTGATTAGGGCTACCACACACCAGTGTATTAAGGCAGAAAGGGTCTGATCACTAAAAAGGGCAGTAAATGTGACACTGAACTGGATGAAGAGCACAGAAAGTAACATTCACATAGCACATGGAAAGAACCTCAGACAGCTTTCTTACAAAGAAGAAAACCTATGAAAGCTGATTTAACCTTTTTCTTGTCTGCTCCATCACAGTACTTGTAACGTTCTAAAGACCTCTGACAATAAAATTTCCCCTCCCTCCTTTACACTATTAATACAAGAGAAGAATGTTTCTTATGCTTACATCAATCATGATAAAAGAAACGGGAAAAAAGAGATGAAATGGGGGAAAAACGGAAAAAGAACGCGAAACCCTCAAAACAACAGCAATCCAAAACATCCTCACAAACAGAAAGGGATAAACTAAAAAGAGGAAAAGGTTAAGACAAACAAATACAAGGGCTATGGTATATGCAGATTGCAGCAGCATCAAGGATATACAGAAGGCAAGACTGTCGGGCAGAGATCCTCTATTAGCTCCCCTTTCAAATTGGGTATCATTACCTCGAACTGTTAATTCCATGAAGGAGAGGATGGCTTGTATAGGAAACCCTTTGGAGATGCTGCCCCATAGTTCAAATCAAGATTGTGGAGCTGTTCCATGAGCTGGGAACGCCGTTCCTTGAAGAAGTCGAGGCGTGTTGTTAATTCCACCAAAGCAGAAGACGCTGCAGATGGTTGCCTCAGATATTCCATCCCCTGTGACATGCAACCCAATCGATAGACCTTGACTCACAATGCATCATGTTTATAAAGCATAAATTGAACGAATAAGCCTATAGCTACAAGGTGTTTCATGGTGTTGATAAAAGTGAAATAGCACTTACCTCTGCTACTCTTGATGTAGAGGGTATGGTGCCGGAATCAACTGCACAGAGTTCATCCACATTAATGCTTGTAGATGCCTCTATATTTTTTGAATCACTCAGGCATGATGAGTCTACACACTGCTTCCGTGACAGATGCCTGCCACCACTTGCAGATGGCAATACTTGACCCTTGAGGCTCCTCCAATCCCCTCCCAATGAACTCTCCTGTAGCAAATCCATTTAAAATGACAAAACAAGGACAAGTCAGAAAAACAAGAAAGGAAAATTTCCTCCATGCTGTTGCAGTATAACTCAATTGAAACAACATTTTACCAAAGATGAAAAAGAAACAACAGGATTAAACATCGATCCCATAACCACCACCATCCCATTCCAAAAGAGAGCACATAATGAGTAGAAAAAAAAAAAAGAAAAAATAGTGGCATATATGCCCTTTCAAGGTGAAACAACAGAGCCACAAAGAATTTTAAGGAGGCATACCTCACTTCTTTGTTTCCGCTCATGATTGCAAAAGGCAAGGGTCATATCAAAATCTTGTTGAAGAAACTTCCTGCAGAGAAATTTTTAATCAGGTCCAGGCATAATATTTTTAAGGAAAAAAAGAAATCAGATTTTGACTCGTGGGAGGTGATGTAGCAGCATAAAGTGAGTCCACTTTTCCTTCATAGTACCCTTTAAAGAACACTAAGGATTAATACTTAAATGGGAATTCAGTGAGACATAGGGATGATACAAGATGGGAAGACTACAGATGGCTGACGCAGAAGGTTCATTCATCAGATGGATGATCTAAATCAGCCATCTATTCCCCCGTGCGGTAATAAATCCAATAATATAGATATATTGAAATAAATTAAAGAACACTAACGATTAACATTTGCATTGGAGAAGTTCAATAAGCAGTGGAATATTGGGATGATGCAGACAGGGAGACTACAGATGGCTGACTGACAAGGTTCATTCATCAGATGAATAGTCCAGTTCAAAAGCCCAACATCATGGACATAGATATGAAAAAAAGGGTTATTTTTTTGTCATTTCTCAAAATTCACAAAAAAAGAAAGATATGGGCACGAGTATCCTATCTAATTTATAAATAGCATGCTTTTACTTTGTCATTTTTCAAATTTTTTCTGTACTCATGCTAACTTCAGAGGAACTTCAAATATTTGCAGTGATGCATATGTTTATGTCAACAAAACAAACGAATGAACAGTTAAAAGTAACTAAAAATACAGTATGAAAGAAGAGAAATTTGTAAGGTAGAAATATCCATGCAGTATTCGGGTCATGCTTCTTGTTCCAACTTTCCACTCGTGTATCTGTGTTTCTATTCACGATTTTGTTGGTTCAATTTGAGTCGGAAGGGGAGAGAGATAGTTGAAGCATCATGTCTATACATCCCTGTATTTTCTAGTTTCTTTGATAGTGACACTGTTACAGCTCTATCCCATGGATGTATTTCTGGTTATTATTTTCTTTTGTGCTGATTGACAGTTATGATTACAAGAAGACATGCAAACAGATCTGTGACAAAGTACACCTATAAATTTCCATTTATGCAATATAAACATCATGTTCAGAGACAAGTTAAAAGAAATATGGAAAAAATATGAACAAGGAAAAATGAATTAGAGATCTCACTGATGTGGATGAAGGTTTTGGATATGCTGATAGCGGTCGCAAGCATCAGAGAGAGAGCCATAGTGATGCTGGCGTTGTTGATTAAGTTGAAGGTGGAGTTCTGCAACTTTTTGCTTTAATCTGGCTACATCTGCCTCAGCAAGAGCAATTTCTTCCAGCTCTGCCCTTGTCTTCATGATAAGCATACCATAAGAATGTGTATCCATTCAAGGCATTTTAATGGAACATCTAATAGAACAAGAACAAACCTTGGAATCCATTCCACGAGAGCTAGAAAGCTGTCCTGAAGACATGCTCAGACCAACCTCCAATGCAGCTCTAAGATCTCTCTCAGCTTGCAACTGCTCTTGCAGCCTTGAAACCTACAATAATTGTCAAAGAGTACATAGTACACAACATAGCTAGAAACACTTAGAACATGCAATAAAAATGGGCAAAAGGGATGATACAAGATTCAGTAGAATTATCAGGCCAGGGTATACATTCACACAATGATCATCAGAAAATTGGTAGTTGAACTGTCTAAACCAATCAAAATGGCCAGCTAACCATTCAGACATACCTAAAGCTATGCTTTTTATTCATTTAGTTTACCTTTTAGACACCCAATGACTGAAGTGAACTTGGACCTAGGTTTCAAAACAATAACTTCTTTTTTCATCCAAATCATAAATGTAGATAGAGGTTTGTATAACAAAATTTCAACGTAACAAGATGTTTATCTATACTAACCAGTGCCGCATGAAAACAGGCACCGGAATTAGAACTCCACACATATCCAGGAGTCCAACCAGACAAGACAAGGGACTTCCAGCCTAAAGGAAAGTAAATACTACTAAAATAGTACATATGTTTTGAATTCTAATATCATATTCCTATAGAAAAAGGTCTAAATGTTCATTTACATTATTTAAGTAGAACTCTATAGGAGGTCCACCAGAGTGAGCTTGTCTTGCACTGCTGGTCACAAGCTCAAATAGAGGAAGGTCATGTCAGGTTGGCAGCCAGCATTAAAACCAATGATCAAAATTTTGTCATGTATCAGGGTATATCAGGCGTATCATATGGTTCTGGTAGCACCCCAATATGCCTAAATAGCAATTTATTTGGGTTTTAGGCAATTTCAAGGGGTGGCCAGGCCTAAGACCAACCCCCTTAGACTTGAAAAAAAAACAATAAAAAGAAAAGGCTTTTGTGCCTTGGAAACACCCAAAATGCAAGGTTCATGCATATCGGGCCATCAGGTGTATCAATATTAAAACCTTGAATAAAACTTATGGCAAAGTCATATGGTCTTGGATACTGAATTGTCCTTTTGTGTTCATGCTAGGCTGTTCCCAGGAAGCAATGTGCTACACCTTACAAACAGAACAGCATTCAGGTAGCCAGCCCTATATAGTTGGGACAAAGCTTAGATGATGATGAAAGTTGTATTCTATGGGAAAAAAGACATCTAGCATGTATATTAGCTGTTCTCTTGTGTGAAATAAGCAAGAAAAAAAGGAAAATGATATATCAAAGTGTCCCTCAAGAATCTATGAGCCTGACATGGACATTCAACCATTTAGGAGAATCCTTGCAACAGATACTAACAACTCCACCACACAAACATTGAATTGAACATGAAGTTTTAGACTGTAACTCATCTCTCAGAACTACTCTGAACATTTTGAAGCAGACAGTCAGGTTTTAATTTTAAATAACTTTATGAAGAAAAAACAGTAAGAACATTGAGCTCTTGAAAGTAAAGTTGATACATCTTGTTCAAGTGCTAAACGCCGCTCATGCAAGGCTTGCTTTCTTCTCTCCAAGCTTGCTTGTAAAATTGCATTTCCTTTGGCCTGACAAAGAGGTAATCAACCATGTAAAAAGAGTATGACTATCTTAGAACCAGCCTGGATACAACCAAGCATATAAAGGAAGACATTCGCCATCACAGTTTTACCTCTTTTGCAATTCTGTTCCGCAAGTCATTTTTTGTGATCTCAAGCCTCTGAATAGCAAGCCTATATACAAGTTACAGAATTAATTTAGAGGATCAGAGTGAAAAATCCATCAAATGGAACAAATTCAGAGTACTATGATACATGATAAAGTGACTTTCCAACTCAAAGCATATTCCAAAGAATGCTGTTAACAATCCATTCCTAGCTGTCAGAGTAGGACTGCTTCAAACAGATACTTTTTTTATGAGTTGCTTCAAACAGATACTTCACCATGCCTATTTTCAGTCAGAGACTCTGTTTACCTAAAAAGACTGTAGAGAACTATGCTGCATTTGATTTTTGCATCTTTATCATATATCCTGTAGTGTACAGTCCCTCATTGTACATGACTATACCTGTATATGCTTATGATTTTGGAATGACACAAAATATTTTACCATTTATCAAAAAACATTTCCAATTCAAAGTAAATTTCCAAAATGTAAAAAGGAGATCATTGATGGTAATAGAGAAATGGATAAAATAGGTGCATCCTTAAACCCAATCTGTAGCTTTCTGTGTAAGCTTGCTCAATATGAAATAAAACAAGAGAAAGAGAAAATGTTTTAATGAAAGTGTAATGGTTCATATAAGAACCCATAGAAACAAAAACGTTTCATAGGAAATGTAAGGATATGAGTTGATTTTAAATTTTTAAAATACCATTTTTTTTCTTGGTACATCATATAACTCCTACAAGGTGTGACCATTTTCTCAGTACTGTCACGTCTGATATTAAGATCCAAGAGTCTAGTCAGAAACACTTCAATGAATGACCATGTGATACAACTCCATGAGCATGAGAGAATACAAGACAGTACACAGAAAACTTCAAGTTTCAATGCACTGTCATATGCATGATAAGGACCTTCCAAAACTTCGCGAAATGGTTACCTCTTTCTAGCCAAATAAGCAAGAAGTTGCCATTCATTTTCAAGCCAAGGTAAGAATTATTGCAGAGGTAAGAATTTCTTAGCAGTAAACAAAAAGATGTTAAGTTGTTAAAGGTGGGATAACATACTCTTCTTCACCAGAAGAGTCAATCGACTCCATGGATGTGTTCTTCCTGGTCTGTAAGAAAAATAAAAAGATTAAGAACAATATGTCAGAACTTTGATTTTAAGAATGAAACATCTCATATCCTAGTACTTAAGCAGGAATTGAGAACACTGATATTTTAGAAAGTATAAGAAACTTGTTATTTACACTAACTATTCTAAATAAAAATGTTAGAACAGCAATGCAACCACAAAGAGAGGCCAATTGCTGGTTAGGGTTTGAAGAGATCAGTGTCAATGGTGTGACAAGATACTGACAGCATTCATATGGCCAAGTGCTCATCATGTAGTATCCATCAAAAGAAAGAAAGGTAAATTACAAACTGCCACCCTGTATTTAGGGGTTAGGGGTGGTGACACTTAGCCAATCCAAACTTTGTTTTGCAACAAAGACCCCCTAAACTTCTGGATTTCAGCACTACCCCTGCTTTGTTAACAGGGTTGACATAAGGTAAAATTACTAAATTGCGCATAGAAGATTCGATGGGCTAAGAACAAAAGCTATTAAAGTGATGAAAATGTGTGTACTAAAGAACAACATGGACTCAGGAATGATGTCAATATTTTGAACTTTGATTGTCATACATATAATCTTATCTATATAAACATCCTATCCATTTAAGGTAGGATATGTAACAGTTGAACATCAATAAAAGACAACAGAACAACTTACAGTGTTCCTTCCCCAGAAAGTCGAGCGCTTGACATTGAAGCTGGAGCCATTTAGTTTACTTGCAGGCTTTTCTGCACATAATTCAGGTCCAGGTGCAGGTACAACTAGTCCCGAATCCATTGAAGACAGAATCTCTCCCATTGATCGGTGAGATTCATTGGCAGGTAAATTGCTACTACCATCCATCTGATTCATTGGGTTCTCACTTCCATTTGTCAATGTTCCTTGCTGCTCATTATGTTCACTATTGGAATCTTTAATTGACTTCTGAGAATCTCCATGTTGCTTCAAACTTGTTCCTAAAGTGTGATTGTCTCTAGGGGATTCAGCATCAGAATCATCACCTCCAAACACCTGTAGATTCATAAACATTGTACTAAATGACTAAAAGAAAGAAATACAGAGCTGAACAAAAATTTGCTATGAATTAGTCAAAAAAGCTGTTCCCAAGCAACCATGAGACCTTTTTTTTTTTGAGAAAAGGTAATTTATTCAAATATCAAAAACAGAGAAGGATGTACATTAGAAGATGTACAAGAAAGGGCCATGTAAAACAAATGGCATGAACCCATATAATTAAAATGGTTCACACTATACAAAAGATCCTTTCCAATCCAGATTTAGCTAATCTATCTTCCAACTGATTCAGTTCTCTAGGAATTGATCTGAAGAAACAGTTAAAAGAAGAGGAAATGACATGGATTTAAAGGTGAGATAGCTTCCAACGGGATGGGTCCCTCATCCCTGTACTTGGCTCAATTTATAGCATTCTTGGGCTCTCCTTCCATCACCAGGTGTCTGATATGTTGTTGAGTCTCAATCCAAAGCCCCTCTAGGAGGGCCCAGATTTCAGCACTAGCTGCAGCTGAAGCAGTAGTAGGACCACTAAATGCCTAAACCAGGCCTCCATCAACTTTGCTAATGATACCCCCAATACCAGCAGCAGTAAGATCATCATGGTTCTTCTAAAACTTCCATAAAACTCCAGAATGTAGACTGCCTCTGGCCTGGGAGGTAGAGGTTGGCAAGTGAGAGGCCTAGCCAGAGATGAACGCACCACTTCTAACCAGCTTCTTTGCATATCTCCCCTGCTCACTCCAGCAAAAGGCTTCATTGCTGGCATCAATGAGTTAATTGAGTTCAGAATCCAATTTTTTTTAAGTTTTTCACTGATGATCCCCTGCCCTCAAATATCTCCCATTGTGTTCCTCCCAAATCCCTCACATCACCACATGGATGATAGCGTTCCATCAGCACCTGACTCTCTTCCCCAACCTGTAGCTTTGCCTCTGACTCTCTCCTACAGTGTTGAGAGGAGATCAACTGTAGTTACCTCTAAATATCAGGTCAAAGAAGAATTGCAAGAGGCTTCTGGCTAACTGGCAATCGATAAGCAGGTGACCAACAGACTCTCCATCACTACAACACATGACACAAACATAGGGAGATATAACAGCTTTCCCTTCTTCTCTTGCAAGTTGTCACAACTATTGAGCTTGCCCCAAGCAGCTTCCCAAATAAAGAAAGACACTCTTGGAGAAAACAAGGACAGCCACTAGGAGGGGTTGGCTGTTAACTAATGGAAAAAAAAAGGTCTGGTTGTAAAGGTGCCACTAGGAGTGAGGGACCAAATTAATTTATTTTTTGAAAGAAGGTAAAGTATGGTGTTGTATTGAAGAAAAAAAAAAGCAAAAACAGTCATGTACAAGTTGCTGTACCCAGGGCTTACAAAAGCTGCCCCTTCAACACTTTAACCCCAACCCCTGATATCTCTCATGCCATTCAGGTTGTTAGTCAGTTTATTTCTGCCCCCATCAACCTCATTTGACTGTTGTTCATCGAATTATTCGTTATGTCCGTGGCACATTATCACACGGAATATTCTTTTCTTCCTCCTCTCCTATCCACTTGAGGGCCTATGCTGATGCTGATTGAGTAGGCTGCCCCGACACCTGACATTCTACTATGTGGTGGTGTATCATTATAGGTGATTCCCTCATCTCCTAGAAGTGCAAGAAACAACAAATGGTCTCCAAGTCATCTATAGAAGCAGAGTCTAGGGCTATGTCATTTGTACGTAGTGAGATTGTCTGGCTACGATCGCTCTAAGGATATTGGTGTTCATCTCCCTAGTATTCTCCTTTATGCCAACAACTGCTATCAAGGTTGCCTCTAATCCAGTTTTCCATGAGAGGCGAAACATATTGAGGTGGATTATCACTTTATCATAGACATGTTTCTTTCTGGGTCTATTTCTCTTCCTCAAGTGGCCTCAGATATGCAGATTGCTGATACTTTTACCAAGGCCATGACAAGATCCAAACATCTCTTTTTTTGATAAATAACAAATACTTTTATTAAGAAATATTAATATAGAAAAATACAAAGGGAGGGGTAAAAACTCTTAACCCTCCCAAGAGAACATTTCAGATTACAATGTTGCCCAGAACAAATTATCTCTTCCCACCCCTTGTTTAGCCAATGAATCTGCCAAGAAATTGGCACACCTCTTAGTCCACTGAAATTTGACTTCCATATTTTGTATGAGATATCTAATTTTCTTCTTTTCATTCAGAAACTTCCACAAACTAGACTCATCTTTTTTTTTTTGAGAAAAATTAACTGGTTTCATAAAAAAGAGAAAGAGGTACACAAGGAGGTGTACAGATACATAACAGGGGACAGACACCTGAGAGTTATACAGGAGGAAATTTATCACAATATGAGGACTCCAGATTGGCACCTAGTTTTGCTAAACCATCTGCAGTAGCATTTAGCTCCCTTGGAATCCAGTACAGAGAAGAATTCATAAGAGCCAATAGATCTCTTGCCTCTGATAAGAAGTAACTAAGTCTCCAGGGTCCAGCTTCCTGTTGTCCTAACCATTTTATGGTGTTTGCTGAGTCGCTTTCGATGGAGAAGTTCTGAATACCCAGTTTGCTGACTAGGCGAATGAATCCCTGTAAGGGCTGCTAATACTTCGGCCTTTGTAGAGTCAGCTAATCCAATCGGTCCACTGTAAACCCAGCAAACAAGTCCATTTTCATCTCTTAGGATTCCCCCTATACCGGCAACTCCAGGGTTACCCAGGGCACTGCCATCAAAATTTAGAGTCCAAGTTCTTGCCCTTCTTGTTGAGGGGACTCTAGGGGTGTGAGGAGTGTATGGGGAGGAGTGCAGAAAGTGGACCACATTCCTGTTGAGGTTGTTGATATCGACTCCTTTGAACTCTTTTGAGCCGGAAGCCCACTGATTACAGTGATAAACAATGTGATTGAGCAGTTCACCTTTAGATTTTGCCTTATTTTCAAACAGACGATTGTTCCTTTCCTCCCAGATTCCCCAGAGTACTGCTTGAAGCACTATCAGCCAGTAAGACTTCCCTCTCTTGCTCAGGTCTCTTCCATGCCATTGAGAAATCCAATCCTGAAGATGATTGGGAGCCACCCAACTATACCCAGCTAGCTGAAGGAAGTAGTTCCAGATGTTTTTGGTTACCTGGCGGTGTATGAAGAGGTGATTAGCTGTCTCACCCTCACAAAGACAGAGGATACAAACATGGGGGGAGATATAAAGCCTTCCAAGGTTCTTCTTCTGAAGTAACTCGCAAGTATTAACTCGATTCAGACACGCCTCACATACGAAGAAACTCACTCTTGTGGGGACAAGCTTGCACCAGATTTTCTTGAAGGGGAAACCACACTCAGTTTTCTGCTACCTGAGCTTCGAAAAAAGTCTTAGACGAGAACTCACCTCCTGGGTGTGGTTTCCAGATTCGGGAATCTTGGGAGTTTGGGGAAATGTAAACTTCTTTGAGGGAGAGGAGGAGGTCAGCTAACTCGCTT